GCTTAGGCCTTAAGCAATCCATGAACCCCCATATGAAATGCCCTTGGACGAAAATTTTGTGGGCTTTCCATAGACTTTCGTCAACCTCTTATCAATAAGGTCCATTAGCCCAAACTACAACTATTATTGATTTACATAATCAGTCCCTCCATTATTAATCAATTCATTTCATCCCAAAATTACTACTAGATTAATTTCTGATTAATTACTAATTAATAATATGATTTCCAAATAATATATTAATCATATAATATATTAATAAAATCATTCTGAGTACCAATTTATTATTCACATGATAAATTCTACTCTCTCTCTCTCTCCACTTGTCATCTTACCGAGTTGCATGAGTGGAGACAAACCAAAAGGACCATGCCCATAATCAAATCAAGTACATACCAAAAATAGTTATGGGCTTAGACACCTAATCCAACAGTTACAAATACATTAGATTGCCATTACAAACATGAAATGGGTAATACATTTTTTGCAGTTGTCCAAATAACCCTAATTCCTTATATCAAAATGCTAAAAACAACCACATTTCCATATTACAATATCATAATGCAAAAACACCCGCAATTCCATGTAACAATAGGGGTCCCTAATTCCTAAACCCTAACTAAAAACCAACAAAACCACCACAAAAAAAACCAACTTGGAAACAAATACAACTTCAATATCGCCACTTGATCATTAAGATTGTTGAAGTTTCTCAGTAATCTAGGTATTATCATCACGGATCTTGCACACATTGGATGATCAATCCATCCTAAGAATCTGCATCTAGAACCCTTCAAGATAAACAATTACCAAAATAAGGGTAATTTTCTAAAAGGCTAAAAAGATATTAGAAGCACTTACCTAGCACAAATGAAACCTTCGACCAAGGTTTGTTGTTGTTGCTGTCCAAGAGGTACGAACCACCGCCACCCTGCCATAGAGAAACATACCACAATTTTGACTGTGAAGAGCAAACACAGAGGATGAGTAGAAAAAAAGATTGAGACCGTGAGTTTGATGGTTGAAGATAGAAGAATGAGTTCAATATCTCCTCCCAATTTATAGAAATGGAAAGACAAAATTACTCTCCTCTTATTTTGTAGCTAACACATCTCGACAGATGTTACTTTGATGGACCAAAACCAATAGAAAGATCCAACTTTGGACTTTTGATGCACATATAAGAAGTATTAATTATAAAAAATATTACCATAATTAAATGTAAAATGCATTAATTATAGAGATTATTAATGAATTTTACATTTAATTATGGTAATATTTTCTTATAATTAATGTATTTAACATTTAATTATGATAATAATTGTCATTAATTAATACTTCTGCACATATTAGAAAATCCCAAAATTTTTTGGACCAAAACCAAATTGTTTTTTTGGACCAAAACCAAATTCTTTTGACCATTTTTACAAGAGAAAATTGCAAATTTAGCCAAATACACTAATTACTTTGTGAAAAAATAGCCAAAAAAACCCAAATTACAAAATTAGCCCTTAAAATCGCAGATGGATTAAAACCATCTGCGATTTCGCATTTCCATCTGTGATTTTGTACATTCCATCTGCGATTTCTTAGCTATTTTGTATAAAAACATTTTTTTTCTTCATTTTTCACTATCTTTTTTAGAGAAACTCTCTTTCTTTCCACCTCCACCTAGTTACAACGCAAACCAAATATTCATTCATTTTTTTAGAGAGGTTTTAAACAAACTTTCCAAAGAAATAACAACAAAAATGATAATTTTTTGAAAAAGTTTATATATAATAAGGTTGTTTCGTAGTCAACACCTATCAATTTCATAGTTAAATTAATAAAAAAAACAAAAAAAAATACAAAATCGCAGGTGAATAGAGAGGAAATCGCAGATGAACATAGTCCATCTGCGATTTTAGGCTGGAAAAGGGGATATATATACAGCGAAAAAAAAAACCCACCTGCGAACGTATATGTGGCTAAAGCACGTATGTGTTTTAGCCACTTGTACGTTCGCAGATGACATGACGAAAGCACAGATGGATTATACCCATCTGCGATTTTAGTGGCTAAAAATGCAATTTTGGTTTTTTTTTTGGCCATTTTTCACAAAATAATTAATGTATTTGGTTAAAATTATAATTTTCTCTTTTTACAAAGGGAAAATTTCATATATATCCTTACAAACATTAAAAATTACATATATATCCTTCCAAAATTCATAATTACATATATATCATTGTTAACCTATTAAACTAATATTTATATCCAATCTTATAATTTAATAATGTATAAATAAATTTAATACAATAAAATATATTTAAAAATCAAAATAAAAGATCCTTATACCAAAATACCCTTTCCAAATTATTAAAGAAAAAAACTAAATAAATTTAATTAGGATTCAAACCTAATTAAATATGGAAAACTTCAAAACACACGTTATTTACTAAAACCTTCAGGAAGTCAGCGTGAAGAACTCGACCTGAAGTGAAGAACTCCTGGCGTTTCTTCTTGATCGCTCACAAATACAAATCGTTGATAGTCTCGTTATTCTCTTCTTCATCACAATAGATTTATACTGTTTGCATTCCATTAATTTTGATTTCGTATTCGATTAAGTTTTTGCATCGATTAAATTTTGGTTTACAATAGACAATTTATTATCCTCCTCTTTAATGGGTAATGAGGTTGATTACCTGCTGTTGGAATGCTGTTGGAATAGAAGGGTGGAAATTGGTGTAAATTGTTGAAATGTTTCAAGATTTGATGTTTGGGAATTGTATAAATTTTTTGCCAAATGAGTGGCACCTGTAAGAAAAGGGAAATCAATAAGGGTCTGAAATATAAAGTCCAGGAGAAGCTGCTTCTACAGTTAGATTATGGTGTGGGAACTTCAAGAAACATACAATGATAGTTGGAGAACGATGTTGATAAGCCATAAACAAAAACAATGTTTGCCTTGTGATGAAAAACTACTTTCTTTCGAGGGGTCTTGTAGTCATCGTCCCCATAAGATTATAAGTTGAATTGAAAAGAATCATCAGGTGTAAAGAAAAATTATGATCATAAATCAATTGCGTACAAAGACTTATCGTTGAGGTGTCTCACATTACTTTTGAACCAAGGACATTCAACATTAGGTTGCCTGAACCCATTTCTATTGATACTTGATGCCAATTTTTGTACATTCAACTAACCAATCACAATTCCAAACCTAAACAAATATGGCAATTGTGATTCATGATTCTGAACTCGTAAACAATTTGAGTCAACTTAAATGAGTGAGGACAAGATTAAGAAAAGGGGAGAAATGAGTACTATCTATCAAGGGCAAAAGGTAAGGAGAGAACACGAGGAGGGAGAGATGGATCTCGGTGAATAGAAAACTTGACCCTTCCAGATTTGAAAGATTTGGGCGAATTGGTGGACCAACCCCTGAAAGATTTGGGCGAATTGGTGCAGCTGCAGCTGTTGCACCACCTCTACAACAGGCGGTTGTTGGTGGTAGCAGTTCAAGTATGGTGGTAGATAATGTGGCGGTAGGGATGAAATGCAAAGTGGGACTCAAACTACTCAATGGTTCACAGATTGGATGAACAATCCTTCTGAACATAATTAAGGGACGTGATTTGACCTCAAAAGAATATTAACAATTCATAGCAAAATATAATAGATTTTAATTTGGGAGATAATTTAGAAAGGGTATTTTGGTAACATTATATGTATTTTTGATTTGTAAATTTATTTTCGATATTAAATTGATTTATATCTTATTAAATTATAAGATTGGATATAAATGAGAGTTTAATAGTTTAAGAAGGATATATAAGTAAGGGAAATGACTTAAAAAGGTAATAAAATTCCAAAAATGTCCAAAAAAGACCATTATTCTTTTTTTAGTGTAAAAAATACCATTAAATTGAAATTTTTGTACAAAAAACACCAACTAAGTACTGTGGTAACCTGAGGTAACCGGTTACCTCAGGTACTTGGGTTATTTAATGGACATATACACCTTCAACTACCAAATTAGGTGTCGCTCCATCGGAAATCATATTCACAACGACGAAGACGATGACAGTCGATGCCCTTCTCCGAGAAGGGCGATCTCTTTCTTCTCCTGCTCAACGAACTCCTTCTCCGGCTGGATTTCTAGTAAATCACCACCGCAAGTGGGTTCTGAAAACCTTCACAGTGGCGGCGACATTTCACCATCGCAGTTTAGGGTTTTTCCACACCACCATCTTCTGTTTTCCCTTTTCTGCATTCTTGGCTAGGATGTACGCCGAATTAGTGTCTTCGATCCATTTTATACACCAGGTGCGACTGCAGTGGTCCCGATTGGGTTCAATGTTGGAGATAAAAGGGCATTAACGAATGAGTTGTTAATGACTAATAGAATTGGGTTTTGGGCAGTCAAGATAGATCCTTTGAAGGGCTTCAACCTGTTCAGGTGTGTAGAAAACATACTTCCTATTTGGGGTTAACTGATCACATAATGGTTGTCAAGAAGAAAACAGATTACTAGGGTATTGTTTGGGTCTAAATTCTCTCTTTTTCTTGATCTCAGAAATGGTGTATGTGTGTGTATTTGATCTCATAAATGGTGTATGTGTTTGATCTATGGTGATTTCATAAATGGTGTATGTGTTTGATCTATTGTTTGGGGACTTTCAGAAGCAAGGATGGGTGATCTCATAAATTCGACACAAACAGAGACCATGAACAGTTGTGTGATGGCCGGTGATCAAGTTTAACCGGGTAACCTGCAATATCTGATAAAATGATATTTTTTACACTAAAAAAAGAATAATGATATTTTTTGTACATTTTTGAAACTTTGTTACCTTTTGTAAGTCATTTTCCCTATAAGTAATTATAAACTTTGGAATGATATATACGTAATTTTTAATGTTTGCAAGATATATATGAAATTTTACTTTTTACAAATATGTCCTTTTTTAAATAATGAATAAAATTCATAAATGAAATATCACCTCCCGGTTACCAAACAACCCTTTTCGTCTCTCAAGAACATTTGGTGTCCCGTGGCACTGACTGCAAACTCAATTCAGTGTTGCCAAAGATAAGGAAGACAGAAGGAAAACACGGATGGAAATGGTGTCTTTATGTTCTTCTGATAAAACCCTAGTCAAACCCTTCTCTTTATCTTCATCTTCCCATGTTTTCTTTCCTAAATTCGTTCGATTGAAGCTCAACAGGGCAAGGTTCTCTTTTCATGGCAATGACAGGCTCAAAATTAGGGCTTCCTCATCTTCGAATTCTGTTGTGTCCTCGTCTACTCCCGACAAAGAAGATGCAGAGTCTTCGCAGCTGTTTGAGGTTGATCACTTAATTCAACCTTGCACCATCATGAATTTAAATGCTATGATATTCTGATTCTAGCTTTATTTATGGATTGAACTTGTGTTTTTTATGTGTGTTCATGTGAAATTGATACATTGATTGAAATTTACAGTATGTTCTACCAATGCTACAACACTGGGTTTAAAAATGTAGGAAATTTTGCAAGGATTGAGAGTAACTGGTTAATCAACTTGTTATATACTCTCTCCTTGCCTGAAAAAGAGATAAAGGTTTAATCCTACCCGTTTTCAACTATGAAAAAGTATATATTCTCCAAAGGGTTAAATGCTTGTTCATGCAACATAGTTTCACCTTTTTCCCAAATTATGCAACAAAGTGGTCTTTTACTGTTCATTCTAAGACCAAAATACAACATTGTATCTGGGACCAATCAATTACCTCTTGTTGTGACGCTTGTTAAATGTTTATTTATGCAACAATGTTTTACCTTTTTTTTTTTTTTTTTTTCCAATTTATGCATGTTTTACCTTTTTTTTTTCCAATTTCTGCAACATTGTTCCATTATTTACACCCATTTATCCAACCGTTACAAATTATACCATGTTTCAACCAGTTAAGTAGGTTACATGTAAAATTTTCAATATTTTGGCCCTAGAATGAAACATGGTTTCATATTTTGTCTAAAAATTGGGAAAAACTTGAAAATTCGTCACACAAAAGACCAATCTTTTGTTACTAGGGCTCTAGAGGTGTAATTACCAGTATAATAGAAGATGAAGACCACAAGAAAGTATGAATTGGTTGTATAGGAATAATTAAGCTATAAAAAACTTGTTTTTGCAGGGTTAGAAAGCTATACTTCAATTATTACCTAATAATAAAACTTTTATTGATAAATTGTGTTTTCAGAAGCTGAAGGAAACAGAGAAAGAACGTATAAACAAGCTGGAGGAGCTTGATAGAAAAGCAAATACACAGTTAGAAAGACAGCTTGTTATGGCTTCAAATTGGAGCAGGACATTATTGACAATACAGCAAAAGTTAAAGGGAACAGAGTGGGACCCTGAAAATTCACACAAGATCGAGTATAGTGAATTCTTAAGGCTCCTTAATTCAAATAATGTTCAATATATGGAGTACTCAAATTATGGGCAGACAGTATCAGGTTAAGTCTCATTGGTAATGATTGTTTTGGTACTTATCTCAACATGCCCTTAAACCCTAAACCCAAAATCCTAAACCCATGTTGGTTAATGCAATTCATTTCAAAAAGTTGAGGGCTTGTCAGGATGTAACAGTAATCTTGAAAATCTTGGAATTGTAATTCTAGTATTTCAGATCACTTCCAAATAATACTGTGAATACAAATAATATATTTTTGTATTAGAATTCTGACAAGTACTTTATATATGTATATGAGTATATGACTATGATATAAGAAGAGACCCCTATATACATATCATAGTGCTAAATGTAAGTATTTTGTATATATGACTATGTATTAGAGGAGCCCATATATTATATATTTATATGTCATAGGGTTAATTGCAAGAAATAGCAGTGTACTTCCATATATTTGTGTATTATAGCATCCAGCTTTCATTTCTTTTTATTACAATATTGAACTTTCGATTTTTTTTTTCTTTTTAAGGCATTTAATACCGAAAAAAACTTCCCATTTTGGCATTGTACTTTATTATTTTTTTCTTATTAATACATTGTACTTTGAAACTCTACCCAATTATAGTAGTCTTAATTGCATTGTATTTGGATGACATTGCTATAATTGGGTTGATTTTTCAATAGTAATAGGAAGAAATGAACTTAGGATGCTATAATAGACAAATCAATGCAAATACGTTGCTATTTCTTGCATTAACCCTTTATCATATGGACCATAAAACCATACAATAGGAATCTTTGAGTTTTTCTTTCAGCAAATAAGTTACAAGGTTGTTTTATTTTCCCTTTTCACTTTACCTTTTTTTACAGTGATTCTACCACATTACAAGGATGGAGTATCAAAAAGCGAGTCAGAAAAAGATATAGTTTTCAAGAGACATATTGTTGATAGAATGCCTATTGACAGCTGGAATGATGTTTGGAAAAAGTTGCATCAACAACTTGTGAATGTTGATGTTGTTAATGTGAACAATATTCCTGCAGAGGTGTATTCGAGTGTTGCAACTATTGTTGTGTGGTCAATGAGACTTGCTCTTGCTATTGGATTATACGTGTGGATTGATAATATAATGAGGCCAATTTATGCAAAATTAATACCTTGTGATCTTGGAACCCCTCCTAAAAAGATTAAACAGCCTCTCAAAAACCAGGCACTTGGATCATTAGGCGAGAGTAGGTAAGTCAAATACTCACTTTTTTTTTATGTCTGAATATATATAAAAAATGATGTTTAAAAATATTCGAGATTTGAATGAAAAATAAATGAAGGCAAATTTGTAAAAAGGTTGGACTTAATGGGAAAAGCCTCCTTTCCCTAACTTTCTATATTAAGTCGTTCTTTCTGCATTAAGGGTGTGTTTCTTTTTTCCCATTATGTGCTAGATTGGATAAATGATATCTATATGAAGTAAGTTGTATGAATAAAGACTATTTCCTTTTTGGACTGAATGAACCTTCTCAACGAGAGTAAATGACCATTTTACCCTTTTGTCTCTAGAAGTGATTAAATACTATAATGGATTAATAATATTTATCTGAAGTACTGTGTGAACAAAGACTGTTTCTTTTTTGGACTTAATGAACACTCTGAATGAGAGTAAATTACCATTTTACCCTTTTTTCTAGAAACGAAGCTGAAGAAAAAATGACTGAGAACCATTTTATGGTTTGAAATTGTAATTGACAATTTTTTTTTGAAATACTTAAATAAATTGTTATTTATATGAATAACGATACAAATGCAATTAACATTCGATCACGTCATGAGTAATAACTTACATTGAACATAATATTGATGACAATATAATAATTTAATTTAACATAAGATTTAATATGTCCAAATACAAATCATGAATTTAAACATTTGTATTCATCCTTTGCAATGGTATTTCAATTAACTTGACAGGAACAGATTTCTAATTTTTTTTATTCTTTTTGTGACTCTCCAGGGCTAAGTTTATATCAGCAGAAGAAACAACTGGCGTATCCTTTGATGATTTTGCAGGACAGGAATATATAAAGAGGGAATTACAAGAAATTGTTAGAATATTAAAGAATGAGGAAGAGTTTCAAAATAAAGGCATATATTGTCCTAAAGGTGTCCTACTTCATGGCCCACCTGGAACTGGTAAAACCCTTCTAGCAAAAGCCATAGCTGGTGAAGCAGGTCTTCCTTTCTTTGCTGCAAATGGCACTGATTTTGTCGAGGTCAAATTCTTCTTATCCACTTCATCACTTTTTTTTATTAGGCTGCATTTGTTACACATGATGAGGGCATTTACGTCTTTTGCACCCCAAACACAGTACAGTCTGTCTTGTCATGTCATGTCAATATGTGATGTGAGGATAGTTTGTAATTATGGAAATTGTATGCACAGATGTTTGTAGGGGTAGCAGCGTCTCGTGTGAAGGACCTTTTTTCAAGTTCAAGATCATTTGCTCCATCAATCATATTTATTGATGAGATAGATGCTATTGGTAGCAAACGTGGTGGGCCCGACATTGGTGGGGTATGTTAACAAATAACAATTCCTTCCTTATTTCAACCTACAAACTTCCTATTACATCATTGTACTTTTCATTTTTTTTATTAAGGCATTGTACTTTGAAATATCACCCAATCATAACATTCTACTTTTATCTTTTTTCTTACTATGACATTACTTTTTAAAAATTCTATCCAGTTATCATGTCCACTTTCATTTTTTTTCCGTATTAGGACATTATATTTATAAATTCCACCAAATTGTTACTTTTAATATATATATTTTTTCCTTATTGGGACGTTATAAATTATTTTATTTACTAATTTGAATTGAGAAATGAATAGTATACTTTTAAGTTTGAGACTTTGGCCACAAGAGTTTCATATGTTGGCAGGTTTAGTCCCTGTGGAGAAAATAAATTACAAAAACTGTCTTTTTAATTTACAGAAAAGGTCCATGTGCAGATTTTTTTTTTTTTACAGAAACAGTCCATGTGTTTAAGACTTTCTTATGTTGACATATGTAGAAAACAAATTACAAAAATTGTGCTTGTAAATTATAGAACAGGTCCCTGTGTAGATTTTTTTTTTCAGAAACAGTCCAATGTTTAAAAAATTACAAAAATGGTCCCTGTCTAATAGAAAATTTAGCACTAGTTCTAACCAATTGTCATGGCTATAATTTGGTAGATTTTTTAACATACATGTTGGTGATAGGAAGAAATAAAAGTATGATTCTATAATAAACAAGTTTACAGAAGTACATTGCTATTTCTTGCAATTAACTTTATCCTATATACTTTAAAAGGGTGGTGCAGAAAGGGAACAAGGCCTTCTTCAGATATTAACAGAAATGGATGGATTCAAAGAGTCAACATCTCAAGTGTTAGTTATTGGAGCAACAAATAGGCTGGATATTCTTGATCCTGCCCTTTTGAGAAAAGGTCGTTTTGATAAAATAATAAGGGTTGGTTTGCCATCTCAAGATGGTAGATTGGCTATATTGAAGGTAACTTTCCCTACAAAGGTTATCATTTTTGGAATCCAACTTTTTAAAAATTTACCTATTTATGATTTTTTTAAGTGTGGTTTATTAGGTGCATGCAAAAAACAAGTATTTTCGTTCTGAGGAGGAGAAGGATACATTATTGTTGGAAATTGCAGAGAAAACAGAAGATTTTACTGGAGCAGAATTGCAGAATATACTGTAATTGATGCATTAGTGTTTTATTTTTTTCTTTTTCAGTTATGGTTTTATTTATAGAAGCTAATGATTAAGTTGACAGGAATGAAGCTGGTATTTTGACTGCTAGAAAGGATTTGGACTACATAGGACGAGAAGAGCTTCTTGAGGCCTTGAAAAGGGTAAGCTGTCAAAAGTTGTGGTTTGCAGGATTCCGTTTGATTTGGCCGGAATTGGAATTGAATTCCATTCCATTCTGGCGTTTGGTTGCAATTGAATGCGGAATTTATTTCTTGTTGGAATTCACATAATCCTTTTTCTGATGGATTCAAGCATTTCATCCTAAAACTCATGGAATTCAATACCACAAATTTCCTTGTTAAGAATACTCAAATACGGTTTTATTTTTTAAAAGGGTAATTTAAATATCTATTATTTTTTTAACCAAAAACTAGTTTTAAAGAATTTAATTTTGAAAAATAGCATTTCTATCTAATATGTAAAGTTTATTTATTTTTTTCACCTAAAAATATTTTTCTAAATAATTGTGAAAAGGAATTTGATAAAAAGGGTAATTTAGATAGTTTACAAGTATTTGAATTTTAATTTCCAATATGAATTTATAAAACAAATACCAATGAAGGGCAATTCTATCATTTGTCATTACATACATTCCATATCCTTTGACAGATTTACAAACCAAACAGAATATACAAAAGGATGAAATGAAATTGAATTCCATTCCATTCCATTTCCTTCCAACCAAACACTCGATGGATCATGGATTTAAACTCCTTCATATTCCAATTCCTTTCACAAGATTCCATTCCATCCAAAAACATTCTGATTTCTGCAAACCAAACCCCTAATTGTTCACTTAACATCCTTGACCTAACATATTGCTCCTTATTCATGGTTTCTTTTTCAAAATTGCAGCAAAAAGGAACATTTGAAACAGGTCAAGAAGATAAAAGTGAAGTACCTGAAGAGCTTAGAATAAGGTTGGCATATAGAGAAGCAGCAGTTTCCATTCTGGCATGCTACTTTCCAGATCCCTATCGACCTTTCACAGGGGTAAATATAAATATAAATATTTATATATATAAAAATTCTGTGATTATGTGTAAAGTTGATTGCTAAATCTTGAAAATCTTCCAAAATGCATGCAGACAGATATCAATTCTGTTAAAAGCCAATCAAACCTTCAGTACTTAGAAGTTCCAGGGCGTGTGTTTAAAAGAAAGTCAGATTATGTGAACTCCATAGTCAGTGCTTGTGCTCGTATGTATATTTAATTTCCATTTTTTTTAAAGATAACTTTACTCATCTTTGTTTTTTTTATAAATTTCGACTTGTGTGATGTTTGGTTATGTTTATGTTTTGCATTATAGCGAGAGTAATTGAAGAGGAGATGTTTGGATTAGACAATTTATGCTGGATATCTGCAAAAGCTACATTAGAAGCTTCTATGCTTGCTGAATTTTTAATTCTTCAAACTGGAATGACATCATTTGGGAAGGCATATTACCGAAAGAATCATGATTTAGTACCAAATGTAAGTGCCATCTCTTCGATCATATGATGGAATGGCTCATTCTATTGGAATGGAAAAAAGCTGTATGGATTATCATGTGATTCCTTCCACTTTGTTATTTTCATTTCTTAGCAAATGGTTTTTTTAATTATAACATGGAATGGAGTGAAATAGGTAGATATATAACTCATTTTATTTTATGTAACTTTTAATGACACAAAAGTTGTTTTCTATAATCAAGTAGAAAATATATATTTCATTATGATATTAGTTTAACATTTATAATGTTTATTTATTTGTTTATTTTTATTGTAAATGAATTACCTTATTTATAATTAAAATAATGTTTAGACTAAAGTTGTGTATATATATGTAATATTAAAAGCTCATATGAGAAATCATTCGATTCCTATAGGCTGACCAAACATGATCATGGACTGTAATGACTCATTCCATTGCTTGATTTATTCCATTCCATTCAACCGAACAGGCCCATTTAGTCTTGGTTTTAATTATTATATTTTTTGGTTTTAGTCTTTGTTTTTATGCATCAACTTTAGTTTTATAATTGATGTTCTGATAGTTGACTTATTTTCATAGCTTGCAGTAAAACTTGAAGCACTTAAGGATGAATACATGCGTTTTGCCATGGAAAAATGTTATTCTGTCTTAAGAGAACATTATTCTGCTGTAGAAGAGATCACAGGTTCGTTTTTTTTTTTTTTTTTTTTTTTTTTTTTTAATATGAACTGGTTTGTTATAATTTTGATATATGGATAAAATATCATGGAAGATAATTTATTAATCAAAACCCTCATGTTCACATCCATATTTGTGTACGAAATATGTGCATTAATGCAACATTAAGGTAGTCTTTGGAAGGTGTGGAATGATTCATTCCATCGGAATGGAAAAACCTGTTTCTTTTGCCTCATGGAATGGAATGGAATGGACCATTCCTGAAGGAATATTATTCCTTCCGTTTTGTTAATTTTTACACCTTAACGGGGGGTTGTATTTTTTTTTTCATTCCATCATGGAATAATGAAAATGACAATATAACCCATTTTTGTTTACGTAATTTTTAATGGCACAAATCTTTTTTAAAGAATTTCATGATTTTAATTAAATTACAATTTATATTAAAATGTACCTAAAAACATAGTTTGTTATAATATTATGTGGGTTTTAATAAGATTTCATTATGTTAATTTTTCTATATCTCTAAATAAATAATTACTTAATTATAATTCAATAATATATCAAGTAGAGTTAAAAAACTATACATTAATTTTACATATTAGATAAAACAATTCATATAAAAAATTCATTCCATTCCTAAAGGCCAGCCAAATTTAATCATAGAATGTAATGACTCATTCTATTACCTTTTGCTTATTCCATTCCTTTGTCCATTTCCATTCCATTCCATCCAACCAAACAGACTTGAAAGGGGCTCCATTTTGCTAACACAACTATTAAAAAAATTACAGATATTCTAATTGAGAAGGGAGAAATTGAAGCTGATGAAATTTGGAGTATATACAAGAATAGCCCTCGGATACCTCAGGTTATTTCCAAACTAGTCAACCCGATAATGTACATGTATATCTAGTTATCAGCTTCTTTTATTTTGCATTTCAATAAACGTAACATATTTGTTACCTTGATACATCATTTGATCATTCATCTGTTTTTTTCTTTTTTGAAATACCAAACGTTTAAATGTATACAATATCAGAATCCTTATCTTATATGTATACATCCCTAGTTAATTTTGGCTACCGAGGTAGATTTCTATAGGAGTAAAATTACATTTTTTTGTCCAACCCAAAAAGGTGGAACAATGGGGGATAGGGACACACTCTTGATCTCTCATTTGTGAAAAAAAGACATAAATACCCTCCTCATCCCCATCATCGAAAATAGCCCTAGAAAGTTTGTCTAGTCCTGTTCTTGTGTTTGTTACATGAGACAATACTAAACGAGACTAGACAAGCTTTCTAGGGTTATTTTCGATGATGGGGATGAGGAGGGTATTTATGTCTTTTTTCACAAATGAGATATCAAGAGTGTGTCCCTTGTTCCACCTTTTTGGGTTGGACAGAAAAAATGTAATTTTTACTCCCAATGACATTGGTCTCACTCCTAGTCCAATACACCCCAAACACAGTACAGTTTGTTACTCTGTTATCTGATGTGTAACAAACGGGGCCCACTTGAACATTATATGATACCATCTTACCTATTTTTTTTTTTTTTTTTTTTTTTTTAATGTTTATAATGATTCAGCCTCGTGTGACCCCTGTTGATGAATATGGTGCACTGATATATGCTGGAAGGTGGGGAATCCATGGTGCTTCACTTCCAGGTAGGGTCACATTTGCACCTGGAAATGTTGGATTTGCAACTTTTGGTGCCCCTAGACCAATGGAGGTTAGTGCCGAGTTTATATGCATATAATTTTAAATTGTAAGTTTTAACCATGCATTTTTTAAAAAAAAAAAATGGTTGCATTTTTGTTTTTGTGTAGACTCAAATTATTAGCGACGATACATGGAAGCTAGTGGACAAAATTTGGGACACGAAGGTTGAGGAAATTAGAGAGGGGGCAAAAAGGGAAATTGAAGCGGAAAATGAGAAGCCACGGGTTTTGATGGCAAGCCATTTTCTATGATCCTTGTTGCCTCTTTTGTGGTGAGTGGCAAATATAGTTTCTAAAAACTAAAAACCACTAAATGTTGCTAGGCAATTAAAGGACAAGGGCTTCATTTTTTAATGGACAAAATACAGAAAAGGCGCTTGTATTTTTACTTTTTTAATCGATTTAGCCATATAATTAATTTTTGTAGTAATTAAACCATTGTACTTTTTTTGAAAACCATTTTCCTTGGTTATATTGTTTTGAAAACTGGAAAAAAAAATACAGAAAAGCACAACTTCTCCATTTATCAATTTAGCCACTTAACTATCTTCTATAATAATTAAACCATTATACTTGTTTTTCACCGTTGAAAAAAACCACATATTACACGTGTTATTCTTTATTTTGCTATTTTTTAATATATATATACACACACACACACACACATGAAAGTTTTAATTTTGATACAATATTTTCTTTTATAAAAATAACAATGGATACAATCTAAAAATGTATTCACTTGATTTTTTGGCAGCAAATTACAACTTATGTGGAATCTAGATGCATTCATTTTTCTTGATCATAGATCCATTCACTCCAAAGATTTATTGGATCTTAGTTCATGGGTCATTTGAAGATCATCTTATCGCACACTAAAAAAAACTTGATTGCATGCAACCATGGAGCATGAAGATGTTGTCAGATAGATATGTTTACAGGGAAGATGTATCAGTTTGTAAGAGGCCTAAGTTTATTCGAAGGGCATAAATGGGATTTCACACCTGTTTTGAATAGTAGGGGTAGAAAAAGGATATGTTGTGCTAGTATGCAAATCAGAGGGAGAGCTTGTATTTAATATATATAGTGAAATATGCTTGCCACACTTTTTGGAGGATAATACTTGCTTTGTTTTTTCCTTTTTCATCACCCAATCGCCAAACATGTAATGGTTTGATTATTTGTTAACCTAGTCATAGTATGCTTGTTTTAGCATAAAGGAAGTGAGAATCTGCAAGGCCTTAGGTTCATGTTTCTTGAGGGTGATAATAGATCGAATAAAAAAGAAATGAAAATTAAGGATTTTTAAAGATTATAGAAATCATATTGTATATATTACATATTAAAGATTATATATTTATAAATGACATACTTAAATGATTAATTCTACATTGAAAGTTTGAATAAACCAAACGAATTACACGAATCCATTAAAATCCTGTTTTTTAAAATTAAAAAAAAAAATACAAATTTGAAATAAAAAATAAAACTGAAGGTTCAAAATTGGTGAATAAAATCCCGTAACAAGACCCGGGTGTGTTTGACCCGGTTTGGTTGTGCATGTGTATGTGGCAAGGTCAAGTGGTAAGTGTTTGTCAAAGTGTCATTTGGCATAAGTAGAGCAGTCGATGCAGGCCTTAGCGTTTTTTCTTCTATTTCTTGTCAAAATAGTCAACAAAACACCCAACTCAGAATATATATATATATATATATATATATATATATATATATATATATATAGATATATATATATATATCACCATGCATCTATATTGACAACCTCTATCGATATGGGTAAGGCGGGTAGATGGATCAAAAACTTGCTGCTAGGCAAAAGGGAGGAGAAAATCAACAAGAAAGAAGGTGGCCCCACATCTCCACCATGCACCACCGCCATTATTCCAGCAACTCCATCACCTTCTCACCGGAGGAGATGGAGCTTTAGGAAATCAAATAACAAAGAAATAGTAGTCAATCACAAGAGTTGCCGATCATTTGACTCCATCATCACCTCCCAGTTAGTTTCACAGGCTTTTTTTGACTATGCAATTCAGCAGCAAAACTACACCACCATGCTGGTGGTGCCGCCTCCCAAAGCCGCCACATATGGACTCCCTCGTGTGGTTTTAGCTGCAGCTGCAACAAGAATTCAAGCGGCTTTCCGTTCCTATTTGGTAACAACTTTTTTTTTTTTGTTTTTGTGTTACTATCTTCACAAATACAAGTAGTTCAGGTCAAATCAGATTGGTAGATGTAGTCAGAGTTTCATTTCCAATGTAGATTGGGCTCGTATGAGCTTTTAAATCTTAAGTCACCCTGACTACGATTTATATCTCATATGGTACTTTTGGGACGGTGTTTTATAAGCCAGTTTAGAAGTTGCTAGAAGAATAACAGTTTTACAGGATCTTCTTGTTATAAAGTAAAATATTTTTTTTAGTACATCCTTAATGAATCAAACATTGGTTGTATGTAGGCACGAAGGGCGTTGTGTGCTTTACGTGGATTAGTGAAGCTACAAGCTTTGGTGAGGGGACACTTGGTGCGTAAACGAACCACAACCATGGTTAGGTGCATGAAGGCACTTGTCTCTATTCAAGTTAGAGCTCGATATCAAAGAATTCAAATGGTTGAGGATGTGGAATCACAATCCCATCTTCATGCCACAAGTAGAAGAGAATTCGTGATAGCTCACGAGCGTCGTCTCAGTGCACCACAATTCGTAAACTCTCATTTTTGTCATCTATTATATTATATTATATAACGAGGGCTAAAAGCAAGAAAAAAGTAACGCGGTTTCATTGATTAGTGTATTATAAAGTCATACTTTATTTTTTTCCTATTGGAGCATTGTACTTTGAAAGATCTACCCGATTACAGTAATGTCACCCAAATAAAAAACAATTGTCATTGCTACAATTGGGTTGAATTTCAATATCGTGTAAGAAAAAAAAATTAAAAGTACAAAGTTTTAATCATGTGAAATTTTTTGAAATACAATCTCTTAATAAAAAAAAAAGATTGATTGTGTGATGTTTTTATAGAAAGTAATAAAGTAAGATGCTATCATAAACAAATACATGGAAGTAGATTGTTATTTCTTGCATTTAACCAAAATTTTTTAATAGAGCACCCTACTTTATTGTATCTTACTGGAGCATTTGAAAATTTTACCTTACTATAGCAATGTCATCTAAATACAAAATCAATTTCAAAAGCTATAACGTGTTAAAGTTTTCAATGAGTTACAAACAACTATGTGTAGAAAGTTGCTCTATAAGGCATCAATCAATTTTTGACCACATCTGTATTTTGACAGACGATTGAGCGGTTGTAAAAAAGGATAGGGCAAATTCAATTAGCTACATAATATACTAAGCAATCTTGTATGATTTCTTCAGGATCACAATGACAATATCGGACAATTCGAAAGCAAGACAAGCGGCTTTATAACTTATCGACAGTCATCACGGAGATTCTCAATAGATTCATTGCCATGGAAACAAGAAAATTCACCCAGACTGCAAAATAAGGCTGTAAACGCTGCTTATTCTACAGTGTCACAAATGGGATCACAATCACATCACGATGAACCCAATTACATGACCCGAACAAAGTCTTCAAGAGCAAAAACACGGTCACAAAGCGAACCAAGACAACGACCCACAAAACAAAAACGCGAAAATAGACAAAATTCATCAAATGAAGCTCTTGGTTCAAAGGTGGTTCGAACCCACAACCATCAAAAAGTGCATTCGGGTTGCTTGACTAAGGCTCATCGGTCATCAAAATCGATTAATGATTCCGAATTCGATTTAGCAAGTACTTGTACTAATGGCTCATCTTATTGTATAACTCAGGTTAGTACACGAAACATTTGGGCATAATTTCTTTAATTTTCATCATCTTTTGCACTGGCGGAAAATTTGTCATCGGCAATGAATTTAGCGACGGATTCATTCTGTTGCAGAATTAACAATCGATTAGTGACAGAATTTGTATCAAAAAATAAGCAACCAACTGTTTACTAATTTTAACCAAAGTTGCTAATGTCCATTTCTGTCACTAAACCTATAGCTTATTATGCTGTTAAACTGTTATATACACATATTATGTAGTATGTACGCACAATACTCAATACACATACTAATATATATATATATATATATATATATATATATATATATATATATATATATATATATATATATATATATATATATGGAGGTGGGTTCAATTGAGAAAATAAAAAAGATTGAGAATGGGGGAATCATTCTCAGCCACTCATTTAATTAGCCTCTAAACATAAAGGACACGGTGGCAAACTTGTAAATATGATATAATAGCCTTCAATCACAAATACGTAAGTGTAGAGAATTAGATAACAGTTGAAATTCATTCGTTTTTTGCTCTTTCAATCCAACCTTCAATTCTACTTGAATACGAACATATCTTCAACATCTACGATTAATTATACTCCCAGCATCATTAGAACAACATCATCGATAATCAACAAAAAATTCAATTCGTATCATTTATTCAACATCGTTCATCAAATAAAACATCGAAATTAAGGTTAGAAAAAGATCAAATCATTTTTTGTTTGAAAATTTTCATATATTTCTCTACCAATCTACTATTTTGTAAGATTTAAATAGTCAAAGTATCATATTTATCACATTTTTAAAAAAGTTACTTGTATGCACTCCAACTGTTTGATGAAATGCATAAACTAAATTACCACGTTATATTCACATATGAATATTTTTCACCTGAATCAATATGTGATTATTAAAACACAAAAAAATATGCAAGTCTGTATGTTATTCATATGTGAATAACATATAAAAATATATATATTTCTGAAAACACCTTGTAATATTCATATATGAATATACTGTGCAATATTCACATATGAATATACCAACTATTATTCATAAGTGAATATACGATCTAATATTCACAAGTGAATATACTATGTACTATTCTCATATGGTATACCATGTAATACTATATAATATTCACATATGAAAATATCATCTAATATTCATAAGTGAATATACCATCTAACATTCACAAGTGAATATATTATGTAATATTCACAAGTGAATGCATCGTCTAATATTTAAATATGAATATACTATGTTTAGTATATGCTATATTCATATATGAATGATACTTAAATTGTAAAAAAAATTAATCATAGTTTTTATTCATAAGTGAATAACGAATGTATTGTAGTAAAAACCTGATTCATTTTTATTCACTTATGAATAACGATAGCTGAAAATATAAAAAAAATAAATTTTTTATTTTATCTTAAAAACTATATCAATATGGATGTCTATTTGTAGAAAATAAAAAATCATGAATTTTGGTATATTTAAAATCATTTTTCAATAAAAATAGCTTCTTAAAAATTAAAAAAAAACGAAAAAACTATGTTTTTGTATATATTAAGGTAATGCTTAGCATAGTTTAAGGAAACATGTTTTGTTGGAAAACACATGTGCATTCCTTTCCCATTTCCGCCGGTACGTTGAAGGCTTTTGCGGCAAAAATAAATGATTGGCTGAGAATGATTCCCCCATTCTCAACCTTTTTTTTCTCAATTGAACCCTCCTCTCTCTCTCTCTCTCTATATATATATATATATATATATATATATATATATATATATATATATATATATATATATATATATATATATATATACAGTGACGAGTCTAGAATAGACAACTGCATGGTTCACTAATTTTTCGATATATATTTTTCTATGTAAATTCAAAGATTTTTATTGGTAAGGTAGGTCCTAAACATTTTTTAAGATAGGTCCCTAGAAAATTTCTATAGGAATTTTAGATAAATTAAAAAAATTAGGTGGGTCCTAGGACCCACCTTCCTTACACATAGACTCGCCACTATATATATATATATATATATATATATATATATATATATATATATATATATATATATAGAGAGAGAGAGAGAGAGAAAAAGAGAGAGACTTATATGCACATACAATATGTATGCATAATAAACTTACAAATACATTGTCCCCACAAAGAGAGCCTACCGGGTGAAGTGAGGAATTATATAAAAAAAAAGTTGACAGTTCAAAACTTGACATTAAATAAATATTGTTAATGTTTTGATATTTATCCCATGTGATGCAACATAAGACTGAAAAAAAATAAAGGAATTATACGATTCATACAATTAGGGCAACCGTGTTATTCATGTCTCTATATATAAAGCTGTATTTTACCATTTTGGGCATAAAATGCTATATGGGCTAAGCCCAAAAGTTTCTTTTTGGGACTAAAAACACCATAACCTTATCCACTACTCAACACTACATACGACACACATACATAGAATATGCATACAATTTTGTTTTTTCTACACTCTTAACAAAAGGATATTTGCTACAGATGACTGAAAATCTCTATTAGCAACAAGCCATTTGCACCGATCGAATCAACAAGGAGTTAATAGTTGACACATTTTCATGACAGACACTCAAACGTGATGTCTGCAAGATCTAATTTGGGACAAAACGATGGGGTGAAAGAGAAAAAAAATATATTAAATCATATTTGTTATTGATGATTTATGTGTAACATTGTAAGGAAACAAAAACTATTTTTGTAATAATATTCAGCCCTTGAAAACATAATCCGATCTTTGGAATAACCCAATTGGTAGAGGCATAGCCTCTTAGTCTGCGAGGATGGAATGTCAGGTATCGATCATTGGTGCTAACAAAAATTAGAGTATTAATACACCTAACCAATAAGCTACCGTTCAAAAAATAAATAAATAAATAAATAAAATAAAATACAATCAAGAACATGTTTTAGAAACTCGGATAATGCACAATACCCCGAAAACTTGTTAGAATTTATAGTGACGACGAAGCTTGTTCCTTGAGTGAATCTTGAACTGCTTTCAAGACAGCTGGCATAAGTTTATGATTGGTAACGATGATACCTGTGTGTCCAGATCAAGATATATTCCTTTTGAAAAGTCTAAAGGCTTCCAGAAGCATCCGAGGCAAAACCACTTGCTTTTGTAATAAGCTCATCGAAAAACAAAACTAAAATTACAAACGGACTTTCATTCATTTGTGTTGAAAAAACTACACAATTATAGCAATGTCATCCAAATACAAAGCGCTTTTGGTAGACTTTTCAACGTATAATGTCCTAAATTGGAAACAATTGAAAGTCCAATACTATGATTGAGTAGATTAGCAAATTAAAATGTTTTGATAAGAAAAAAGTTGTAGAAATGCCCTAAAAAAGTACTGTGCTTTCATTGAAATGTTTATTATAGCATCCTACTATCATTTCTTCCTATTACAACATTTGTACTTCGAAAAATTTACCAAATATAGCAATGTCATGCAAATTCACTGCTATTTTAATGGCCTAATAGAAAAAACCAGAAGTATAATGCTATAAGTTTACAAAGTATAATACCTTACTACAATTTTTTTTAAGTTACAATTATAGCAACATACAATGCCTTAAAAGGAAAAGTGAGACAGGTGAAGAAAAATTGATAGTTAAACAAGTTGGAGTAGAGTGGCCAAAAAGTAGGGTGATACACAAGAAATAACAATGTACTATCATTTACATGTTTATTATAGCATCCTACTTTCATTTTTCTTTTTTACAGTATTATACTTTGAAAAACCTACACAACTATAGCAATTTCTATATGGGGTATAAATGTATAATCTCAAAGTACAATGCCTCAATAAGAAAAATATATGAAAAGATAACACAAAAATTGAAAAAGGTGAAATTTACCTATAACAACAATATATCCAACAACATGGTTGTCACACCCCCAAACCGGAACGGCGGAAACGTCCGGGGGCGGATGACATCATTGTATAGTATCATAACAGTTGAATATAAATGAATCATAGCAACCCACAACATCACACAATTAGATTACAAGTTTACATCGTTTGCATACTTTGTTTGTTCAAAAGTTAACAACAAATAGCTGAAAAGTAAAAGTTCATGACGTAGCAACTCCTGCTCTCAAAAATGTTTTGGATACTTGCTCACTGGTTTCCTGAGAATACAAGTGATTTTAAAAAAGTGTCAACAATTAAGTTGGTGAGTTCATAAGCATTTTGTATGAAAATGATTTGTAACTGCTTTGCGTAAAAATGGTTTTGTATACTTCCAGAAAATCAGATATTTTCTTAAATTGAACTGTAGTCTTAAACCCTAAGACGAGAAATGTAAGTAATGCTGTACTGACAGATAGTATGTAGTTTTATCTTTTCATAAAACTGAAGAGTGTAAGTTATCCCGTAAACCAAGTAGTTTTGTTAGTCTCTATGTGAGTTATTATAACCATACTTAATATGACTGATATGCCTGAACGACGTTCTTCAGGTGTCGGAATTGATAGACATTTGTCACCCTAGACTTGCCGGTCTAACTGTAGAGAACAGCTGAGGTGTGGGGTTGTCAATCCCGTATAGATCTATACACAACTATATCACTCTCCCTACAGGAGACTCTAGTTATAATGCAGAACTTAAGGTGTACACTAGGTAGGTACGGTGAAGTAAATGTCTCACAAGAGCATCAACAGATTTACGTGAACTATGACTGTAACACCAGGTTCCTGATAATCATTCTTAAATGAAGATTTATCATTTTAGCAGAGGGACTTGACGAGTTGAGGGACCAACTCGTTGAGTAGGATCGGGCATGGACACGGGAATTAAGTGACCTACTTGGCGAGTCGGTATACCGACTCGGCGAGTAGCAGCTGTCTGGATGAAACCCTAGATTTGAGGGTTTTCACCCTATTTAAACATCTCATCCCAGCCTCCATCGTCCTTATCACTCCC